TTAGAGATAGAGGAAGAGAGAGAGAGAAGCATTGATTTGTTGTTCCACTTATTTATGCACTCATTGGTTGATTTCAGTATGTGCCCTGACTGTCAAACCCACAACCTTGGCACATTGGGATGATGCTCTAACCAAGTGAGCTACCCAGCCAGGGCACATAAACTCTTTTTCAAGAAGAAGGGCTACTTATGGTTCTTAGGCATAGGTTCTCATGGTTTGTGTCATATGCTCACCACCCTAACCACAACTAACTGAAATAGGGAGAATTTCCTAAATCCAAAGCTGACTGCTCTCGGCTGGGCAGGAGCCCAAAGCAGGGACCTGGTATGAGAACCCTAAGAGGCCCATTTGACTGCTGGGACAGAAGCTTCAGCTTTATCATTACCCTGTGTGTCTTCACAATTGATCTCTGTCATGAGGGGTAACCTGAGCAGGTCTGTAAACCTTGTAACAGAGAGGGCCTCTCACACATAGTCTAGTGCAAAGTCCTGTGGAAGTTCCGAGGAGTCAGAGGCTACAGGAAGGGGAGGGTTGGGCACTTCATGAAGAATTGACACATGAGCTGCCACTGAAATAGGACTATACTTTAATTAGTACATGCTTTACATCAGAGCTCATTATAATTTACAAAGCATAAAACTACAAATGTACAAAAGTAATTTGTAAAATTTATCTCACTTGGTGTCAAATATTTTTTGTGCACTTAATAGTCATGCTTTATTCCATTTAAACGGTATTTTTAAATTTATTTATTTTTAAAATATTTTATTTCTTTTGACATTTTAAAATATTCTTATTTATTACCAATAGAAATACTACGTGTAGCTTTGACTAGAAGTAGTGCAAGAGAGCATTTCTCAGTCCATGGTTCAGGAACTTCCAGTGATTTATAAAGGCGTTTCAATGTCATTAAATGTTTCCATTTCAGTGTGTTTTTTTTGTGGGTTTTTTTTTTTTTTTTTAATTCCATAAGGCTAAAGAAAATATAACAAAAGGAACCAGGGAGAAATAGAAGAATAAAAATCAAAGTTTGCAATTCAGAATATCTGCCCTGTGACTTTTGACTTGAGTTTCATTCTGGAAATGACTGTTTTCTCTATTATGTTTTCATACAGAAAACATTACCTGGTGGGAGAAGGGGGAGGAGGGAGAGACCTGCCTAATTTACTCAGTCAACAAGTATTTGATTCCTTACTAGGTGCCTGTCATTGTGCTGGATTTTTTTTTTTACTTTTTACTTTTTTTACATGGCAAACTCATTTATCCTGAGAGTTGCAGCTCCAATATTGCCTCCTTTCTGAACTGTCCTTTACTCTGTCGGTTATTTGTTCTTTCTTCAATAGTTTTATAGCATTTTGCCTATCATACATTTGTAATAATATATGTCATGTCTACACGTCTGACTCTCCCCGTCAGACTGAACACTAAGTGTGGGACTTATTCCTCCTTGTAGCCCTTTCTGACCCCTTAGCTCTACCCATTCCAGCTGGCGCAGAGGAGTTCCTCAGCAAATGCTAGTTGGGTGGGTGCTGGCTAGATGGACAGTTACCGACAGCTTCTTCAGAAGTATGAAACTGGGAACTCTGCTCCCGACTGTGAAGGAGTGGGAGGCTAGTGCTGCCACTAAGGACAACTAGAAACCTAGATAAAATCCCATAAGAATTGTATTTGCAGCTCTAAGGCTGTTTGTTGAGGTGAGCCCACTACTGTGTGTTACTTTTCTCTGCGGGAGAATTGCCAACATTTAAAGCAGCTAAAAGTAGAGCAGAGTTTTGGGCAGCCTCATGGTGTCTAAGGGGACAAAATTTTGAGTTTTAACTTGCCAAAGACCCAGGCTTTCAGCTGAAACCCATGGATACTGGGCCTCCAACTAGAAACTACCCAAATATTCATCAACAGAAGAATGAATAAGTTCATACAATACTGTATAGCAATGGGAAAGAACCACCTAGGACAACACCCTACAACACGAATGAATCTCTTAAAAGTAGTGTTTATCATAGAAGCCAGACACAAAAGAGTACATACTGCATGCTTTATTAATGTTCTATTTCTTTATCTCGGTGATATATTATATGGGTATGTCCAGTTTATGAAAATTCACCAAGCTGTATATTTATGACTTATACACTGTATGGTGTATTTCAATAAAAGTTTACTTTTTAAAAAGTATATCAATAAGAGTATTAGAATTGGCAGCATGTTCAATCCATTTATATTATAGGATATAAGAAACTTATGCTTCTAGAAATAAAAGATGAATACCCTGGAAAGAGAGTGTATGAGTTGCTGAAAAGATGATAAATTTAAGCTATTTAAGGATGAAGAAGAGAGGATTCATTCATTCTGTAAAATATTTTAAATTCTTATGATAGTCCAAGAGCTTTATGAGGTGTTGGTGATCCAAAGTTTAATAAGTCCCTATTGTCAGAAGGGTCACTGTCTAGTGGGAAAGGGAAACATTCTTTTTCATTTTATTTTATTATTTTTAAATTGACTTTTAGAGAGAGGAAGGAGCGAGAGAGAGAGAGAGGAACATCTACGTGAGAGAGAAACATCGGTAAGTTCCCTCCCGTACGAGCCCTGATGGAATCAAACCCGCCACCTTTCGGTGCACAGGACAGTGCTCCCACTGAGCCCCACCAGCCAGGGTGGAAGGGTACCATTCTTAGACATAACAATGAAAGCTCTGTTTTGAGCACCTTCCTTGAATTAGGCACCATGCTGTGCAGTTTTGTAGCTTCCTACCTAAAGTTGACAACAGCAATCCAATGAGGTGTTGTTTTTTTCCTTGAGGACACACAGGAAATAAGTTGGCCAAGGTCTCACCACCAAGATTAAAACCTTAATCTGTCCAACTTCAAAGCCCTGTACTTTACCCAGCCATTGGACAGTGTTTTAGAAGAGCAAAAACTGTGTGATGAGATTGTAGGTGGAAGTCAACATAAATTCCAGTGGTGATGTCTTGGAGAAGGTGGGGTACAGGGTTGGCCTGGGCCTCAAAGGATGAGCAGACAGAGAATAACGTTCGATGGTCTGGAAGTGGCTTTGGAGAAATAAGTTTTTGTTCTGAGGAAGGGCCAGACTTTTGAAGAAGGCAGCAGAGATGTGCAGCAGAAGTGAGACGGCTGAGTAGTGTTTCTCAGGAAGGGGCTAGCTGCTCCTCATACCACCTTTCAGCCGAGGGCCTTGTTTTCAAGCCGTCCCGGAACCCTCCTCCTGTAAAGGTGTCTGGTCTCTCCAGTTCCTGAATCTTTCTGGGCTTCCTTGCTTTCTCAATGTCGGGATCATAGTGCACACATAATTTTATAGCCAGAGTTTGGGGTGGTTGTTTTTTTTTACTTAATATTTTATTAAGAGCATTTTCCTAAAGGAAAGTGCTTGTTGCTAAAACATACCTAGTCATCATGGGAAAGGTCTAGATTCCCACGAGTTCAAGCTAACGTGGTCATGTGTATAATGCAAGTGTTTCTAAAACAGCAGGAAAGAAAGAACCTGTACATAGAATACACTGTGCCTTGGAACACCTGCCCTCATGCTAACGCACCTTGCGTGGTTTAACTACTAAGTGAAGCAAGCAGGAGGCAGCCAGGGAAAAACTCAGGTCTCGTACATCGGCATGATTTTAAGTAGCCCACTGTACTAAGCAGGCTATTTAGCCAGCTGCTATGACAGTGACCTGAATTAACAGTGGATTCAACCAAATATAAGTTTATTTTCTTTCTTGTTACCACCTGAGTGTGATGTGGTGGTTCCACCTTGGATCCTTCACCTTGTTGCTCTGTAATGCCTGGGCTGCCTCCACTGTTTACGGATTAGAGATGGCTAACTGTATTCTAGCGTGGGAAAGGGGAAATGTGGTCCAGGGAGCACACTTCTTCCTTTCAAAGATGTATTTTACACATTTCACTTCTGCTCACACCTCATCATCCAGAAGTTACTAGAAGACTGGGAAATAATCTAGCTTAGGGGTCATGTACTCTGTGCTATACGAGAAGCTGAGGTCTAGTACTGGGGACAACTCATGGTTCCTGCCGTATTTTGAGCTTAGTAAAATCAAAGTTATTGAATTTAGACTAGTATCGCTGAGTGTTAAGTTCTGATCGTTGTAGTGGGGCATTCTTCGACTTGTGTTAAAATTATAATACATACAGAACTTAAAACTATGTAAAATCTTAGTGGTTTTCCCTATATAGACCCGAAAGAATATGAGGATTAATGCCTTATACTCCTTTATTCACTGGAATTCAGTAAATTTCTCCTATCCTTAGTCCATTCTGGCCAGTGAAACCAAGCTCTTACAGGCCTACTTTTACTTCTAATGCTGATAAAGAAATTCTAGAACCAAGGCTTAACAATGTACACCTTTATAATGAACAACAACAGGAGAGACCAAGATAGAAACGAAGGAGATGCACTCTACTCACAGCAGTAGAGGAGAGACGGTTCTGTTTCCTAGAACCATTCTAAGAATCTGCTTTGATGAGGTGCTAAATTAAGAACATTCAGAAGAACATCAATCTCGTTTTCCGGTGCAATGTGAAAACTTGTCTGAACATTCATGATCTAGCAACTTGTTTTCTTCTCTGTTCTTGGAAGCATAATTTTAACAAAAAGATTTTGTACAACTAAGACTTTTGGAATTGTTACTGCATGCTACAAAGATAACCTTAAGAAGAGCTTGTAATTCTGATTGTCTTCCTGGATAGTTTGTTGCCTTGGCAATAATACTATAATTTACTTCTGAATTCTTAAGCAACCCAAAGACTTAGAACTTTGCTCTGAGAATCATTTGCTCAGTTCACTTTTCCCACATGTGCAATGGAGAAAAATAAATTACTATCACATCACACTCTTATTATCGTCAATTTCTTATTTTAACAAAGACTGGAAGCCTTTTTGCTAAATTAACGAGAGCAATTGCCTTTTTTTTCTGTGAAAACCTGATATCTATTATCCTTTAGGAATTCTTGAAATTGTTATTTTCAAGTTATTTGACTGTGTTTCTCTTTTTCCACATAGACTGTCCTTCATCCACCTGGATTCAGTTCCAAGACAGTTGTTACATTTTTCTTCAAGAAGCCATCAAAGTAGAAAGCATAGAGGATGTCAGGAATCAGTGCACTGACCATGGTAAGGAGTTTGTTCTTTTTTTGTTTCTTTCTTTCAGAAATCAGTAGTGTTCACTAATTTCTTTTAAAATAATGCTTTTGTTGTATCTCACTTTGACCTGGGTCTTTACAATAATTTTATTCGAAAATCCACAAGCCACAGGCGGTGGGATTGGGTGGAAGACAGTTGTTACACAATGCTGTCCCAGCAGAGTGACAGAACCTTAGCGATAGCAGTGTCTAGTTAACGTGCCTGCTCTGTGCCAGGCACTGTACTTAAGCACATCGTATATTTTAACTGGCTTCAGTTATTATAACAAACCTATTAAGTAGTTTATTATTAACTTCCTTTTATTAAGAAGAAATTTAGTTCAGTTATTTGTTCAAGGTCACACAGGTCATAATTGGCAGAGCCAGGATTCAAACCAGGGTCCATCTGACTTTAGGACCAGAGTTCTCAATCACTGTCATTCTGCCCTGAAAGTGCTGTTTCAGGCATGTGTGTGGCAGAAGTCAGGTGACATGGGCCATGAAGTAAGACTGTGGTAAAGAAGTGTACATTAAAGAAAAATGAGAATAAGGCTGTTTGCTAGACGATATGCTCAGTGTTCTCTGGGAAATACATTTGTATCTTCAACATTGTGAAATATTGCAAAAACAAGTTATTTTTAAAAAGGTGTGCTTGGATGCTCTTCAGATATTTGACTGTCTAGCCCAAAGTGCATCCTGTTGTTAAGCCTCTAGTTGTGATCGTCATCAACTCAAAATTAAGCTTTGATGGGAACTTCCAGTTGAGATGGTGCTGTAAGTAATGCGGTACTAGAATCCCCACGACCACATCAAAATTACAGCTGAACTACTGAACAACCATCATTCAAAACCCCCTCAAATCTGGCTGAACAGAAATTCTACTACTAGGGAATTAAAGAAGCAGCCATATCAAGACTGGTAGAAGGGGTGGAGACGCAGAATGGGGCTGGTCGAACACCCACATGTGGTAGATAAAAATCAGGAGGCTTATCTTAACTGCAGAGGGCCCCCCTGAGAAGCGAAGGGATTTGGGGGGCTGGGTGAAAAAGGTGAAGGGATTAAGAAGTACAAATTGGTTGTTACAGAACAGTCATGGGGATGTAAAGTACAGCATAGGGAATAAAGTCAATATTCTAATAACTATGTATGGTGTCAGATGGGTACTAGATTTATTGAGATGATCACTTAGTAAGTTATACAATGTCTAATCACTGGGTTGTATACCTAAAACTTGTATTTTATGTTATCTGTAATTGAAAAATAATGATTTAAAAAAACTATGATGATGTGAATTAGCATCTTTTTCAACTGATATGTCTATGATGGTGAGATGAGAGTTAATGATTCTTTAAAGGTGCTTTTTATTATTGTTTGAGATACAAAGGTCTGTTGATCATTTCATTAAATTTTGACTTAGGCATGTTCATCACTCCAGCATTTAGAAATGCACTTTACCTAAAAAATACAATTTCTGACAACCTACCAGTATAACATTTTGGAAGACTATCAAATTGTATTAGGGATACTTTAATTAAAATCATATATACAAAACAAGTGACTTGTTACCTTTTGGGCTGCAGAGAGCTACATTTAGAAATACTCCCTGTGCTTTGTTCTGATTTACTTGGTGTTACCTCTCTTTATTCTTGATACTATCATTCATTTAGGAAAATAATTGTGAGGGGCTAAAATTTTTCTTATTTTGCAACATTTACCCTAAATTTATATATCATCATTATAATCAAAAAATTTAACATTTTCAATCTTTCCTTTTTGTGATCTAGGAGCTATGTCACTAACCATAAAAAGAATTAAAGACCCAAATTACATCTCAGCAGGTAGTGTCATTGGTAATGCATTGTCAAAAAAAAATTTGCTTGTGCACGTGTATTCTTCAGGGTCTTACGCTGTCATGTGTTAAAGAAAATGAACGTGTGACTTATTTGCCTGACATAGTAATTTCAGTGTATACGACATTTAATTAGATTATGATGTTAAAAATCATTCCACTGGCTGCCGCAAGGTCAGAGAGAAGGAAGGAGAACTCCTCTCTGGACACTTACGCCTAGAGTGTAACGCAGTAAAATAAAGTCTCTCCCTTGAGGGCTTTTCTAGTCTGGCATCTTGTTCACATTTCAATATACAAGTAAGTACTAGGGAAAAACAGATTAAAAGTCTATATGACATTTAACAGGCAGGAGGTGACAGCAGAGCTGGAACTGGTAAGGAAACCACAGAGTTTTAAAAAATGGAGATACGACTCAGAGAATCTTGCTGAATCTTGACTTCGGATTAATTAAAATATTACTTTAATGTTCAGTCTTATTTTTCTTTTCTCTTCAAAGTACTTTCTTAATTATACAACTAATGCACGATCACTGTAGAAAACTTAGAAAAACACATATGCAAATATTTTAAAAAGAACCCAAAATCACCCTAAGGAAATGTAATGACTATTAACATTTTAGTTAAGTATCCTTCTAGACTCCCTGCCCCCAAGTAAATATATTTTAATAAATGTTTGCTTTAAAATATATATATATTTTATATATATGTAAAGGGATATTAGGCAAACTGTTCTGTAATCCGCATTTTCTCTTATGTCTTTCCATGGCAGAAATATAGAATATAATTTCCTAATAACTGTACATTTTCCCACTGTATAGATATGCCATAATTTAATTAATCCTCAAATATTGGTTAATGATTTCGAGTCTTTCAGCGACATAGGCAACATGTGGTGAATATTAGTGAGTGTGCCTCTTTGATTTCAGCAGAGCTAATGATTACCTTAGCATAATTGTTAGGGATCGCCAGGTCAGAGAATATGTACTTTTTAAGGGCTTTTGATACATCTTGTCAAATTGTCTCCAAAAAGGTTGTACTAATTTTTACTCCGACTAACCACTTAGGAGTTCGTTTTTCTACACCCAAGGCCAACACTGTTTATTCTGAAAGTCTGCTTATTTTAATTTTCATTTCTTTACCAGTAAGATTGCATTTTCCGCATATTTCCGGTTATATTTCCTTTTGTGGGGGTGAATTGCCTTTTTCAGTTTGAGGTAAATTTTTTCTTTTATTAAGGTGTTTGCCTTTTTATTTTTTATTTATAATAGAGCTTTCGTCTGCCCAGTTTAAGAGTTTCTTCAACAGTATGGTATGTTCTGGGGGGAGATTTTTGGCCCTATAGTTCTTTCCCTTTGTAGTTAAATTTCTTGGTTCTCTTTTATCAGATGTGAAAGTAATAACATACATATTTTTACCATCAGGACATAATAGCTCTTTCTCTTCCCCATTTAACTGTTAACTTATTACAAAAAATGTTATCGATTTTAGAGAGATGTCTTAAGTATAATAGTATAGCTATTATTTAAGCCTCCTATAATTCTGTGTAGTCTCTTGTATCAGCAGCAGTAGCATCACCTGGGAACTTGTTCCGAATGTAAATACTCAGGCCCCACCTCACTTCCACTGACTCGGGAACTCTGGGTTAAGGCCCAGCGCAGTGGTTTAGCAAGGTCTCCAGGTGATTCTGGCGCACACTGAAGCTGACCTAAGAGTGCAGGTCGTTCTGTTGGGCTTCACAGATGTTGGGTTTCTAACAAATTGAAGGAAAGACCCTCCATGACTCGCTGTATTGAAATACTTGCTTTATTGTTGTGATTTGGAACCCAACCTGCAAGAGGTCCATGGTATGCCTGTGTTCTGAGGTTTTCTGGAGCCTTTGTCGTCAGGATGATTTTGGAAGAATGTAATTCGGTAGTAGGAAGGACTTCCTCTTCGTGTACTTGAATTCGTTGTACTTTTATAATTTCTGGGGCTGGAAGGTCACTTTTCTTCGGAACCTGGTGTTACATTCCTCATTTAGCTGAGTACAGCTGCAAGGATGTTACTTGTTACTTCTGTCTCTAACAAGGAGGGGTTTGATGTCCCCTCCCCACCAGGTTTCCATTGCTACAAGCTTTGATGTCATCATTCATTGTTTTATCTTGCAAAAACTTAAAATATCACAAGAGAAACGAACTCCACTAGTGCTTTCTCGTATGTATTAGCCAATTAAGACAGCGGAATTATTTTTTTCATTTATAAGAGAATCTCTGGGTTAAGAAACAAGGCTAGGAAGCAGGTGGGTGGAGGGGGAGACTGACCAAGGAATTTATATGCATATATGCACAACCCAAGGACACAGACAGTGGTGTGGAGAGGGACTGGGGAGGGGGGTGGGACAGGGTGGAATGGGTCATTGGGGAGAAAAAGGGACATCTGTAATATTTTGAACAAAAAAAATGTCACACAATAAAAGGTTAAGTATCTTGGGAAAGTGAAGTTCTGCTAATATTTATAGGGTGCCATGTAGCTTATAGATTGTAAGAATAAAAATTTTAATGTATGTGAAACAAAAGTATACGTGGCTGCTGTGCCTTACTCCTGAACCAGGCGAGAGTCCCAGGAAAATCAGTTAACTACCCGCGGAGAATGAGGACCTCCTTTGTCATTAACCAGGAGTTAGTTCTAAGGATGATCTGAAGGAAAGATGGAAATAGGCTTTGGGCAGCAGGAGCAAGGCGGCCAGTTAAGTGAAGTGGGTCAGCGACGCTGCTTGTTACTTGACCTTGATTACATCTTGGGACTGTTCCGGCGAGTTGCCCCCTTACTCTGCAGTTCTCCGGAGTGTGGTCAGAGCTACCACTCTCTACACTTGTGAAATGAGGGCAGGTGGGTCTACGATTGCTGGAAAAAGTGGATAGTGGGGAAAAGGTGAGAGATGCATGAAGTGTGTTTTACTGCTCAAGCCTCATGATGTTTGTTTTCCTATAAATAAGATAACCAACTGTAAGTGAATGAGAGTATAAAATGATTCTGTTCAATTTACATCACATTTTACTTTTCCCAAGAGTGATTATACTCTCTTCAGATGTGCATATTTTAAGCTAAATTTTAAAAAGTAAAAGTGTAATATATGTATTTTAAGAATATATAATTGTATATACTTCATGGGATTTTCATTGTTTCTGGGAAGATGCTGACCTTTTTTCTTCCTAAAATAATTTCAGGAGCAGACATGATAAGCATACACAATGAAGAAGAAAATGCTTTTATCCTGGATACCCTGAAAAAGCAATGGAAAAGCCCGGATGATATCCTACTAGGCATGTTTTTTGACACAGATGGTAAGTGATGTTTATCTTTAGAGAGATTTTTTCTTTTTCCTTAACATTAGTAAAATGTATTACCTTCTTTTAGATTCAATTCTCTAGTTCAAATTGATGTTTCCTCTGGTGTCCAGGTACTGAAGTTTCAGTATGCACCCGACTTGTACCACAGCTTTTCCCTGAGCAGCTCAATGTGTTTCACATGTGAAATTAAGTCGATTCTTCTGTCTGGATTAAAATGTGGTTCTAGGTTCAGTAATTTTGTAATATGGTAGGGTTATAAAAATCAGTTATCAGTGTTAAATGATTAATAGGATACAGATGGACAGCTATCAAGGTTATATCACTGTATTTACTGTCACTGCAGAAAATAGAAAATACACGTATAGTTATTTTCAAAATATTAGCTACTAAGGTTACTATTAATTTAACTATTTTCTTGGCTATTTCCCATAAAAAGTGTTATATTTGTATATATGAGATCTTCGGAACATTCTTGAACCAATGCCTTTGATTTACGTGTACACAGAATATGTTCCTCTTCTAATTTAAATCCTACAACCAGATGTTTACACTAGACATACCTTAGGAATTTCCAACCCTTAATCCTAGACCATTTGGCTTTTATTCTGATAATGGTGAAAATGTTCTTAACTGACAGATCAGAGTTTCAAGTGGTTCGATAAGTCAAATATGACATTTCACAAGTGGACAGACGATGATGATGAAGAGGACCTAGTTGACACCTGTGCCTTTTTGCACACCACGACCGGGGAATGGAAAAAAGGAAATTGTGAAGTTTCTTCTGTACACGGAACCCTCTGTAAAGCAGCTAGTAAGTATAATTGAGACCTTTTTCCAATCTAAGACGGGTAGAAAAGTAGGGCTGGTTTTAAGTAATTTTGAGGTAAGTATGCCTCAAGAGGGAAGTAAGACTTCAGCATATACACACACTTTGAATAATTATAAAGGCAGTATTTATTAAAATACATTTCATTTTCAAAATTGAGCTATCAGCTGTTAAAGTGTGAATACATTTTTGGGGGACACCCTATATTAGGATGGTTTGTTCTCTAGTCTCTTGGAAGTCAAATATTCTCTTAACATTTCAGAGGTAGGGCCGGATCAGGTGAACCACACATACCTTTATTCTTTCTGCTTGCTTTAGAGCTTGCAAGAGGTCAAAATTCTTTCTGTTGTTCAGAGGATTTATCATCACCCCTTTGCATGTGATCTGATTGAACAGTGGAAGTGGTGAATGATCATGTCTGATTCCAGATGCCTAAGGATTCCAGGATTCTAATGTTTACAAAGAATTTGATTCTGTACAAGAACTAGTATCTTTCAGCAAAGAAAAATTGTGTTGTAGTTTATAATTTATTCTGGATTAAAATATGTTTTCTTCTGACCCATCAAAATATTTTCTAGTGAACAAAATTATTCTGACCCACAACAGTAAAAAAAATTTTTTTAATCCTCACCCGTGGATATGTTTTTTATTGATTTTAGAGAGAGGAAAGGGGGAGAAAAACATTGATTGGCTGCCTCCCACATGCACCCCGACTGGGAATTAAACCTCCAAGCTGGGTATGTGCCCTGGCCGGGAATCAAACCCGTGACCCTTTGGTGCATAGAACGGCACTCCAAACGACTGAGCCACCAGCCAGGGCCTGACCCACAACATTTTGGTATTATTAAACATTGTACAAAGTTTGTTCTAAGTTTTCGAAAGAATTGTTTTCTCATTAAAAACACAACATGTCAAAATACAATTTTGGAGTTCCTTGAAACATGACACAGTCATTTTCTCTTTGCACCTTTTAGTATTACCCCCTTCTACTTGAACTGTAAACCAAAACTATACACCTGTCTTGGATTACTTCCTTTGTTTACAACTGAAATTAGCTTTTTATTACTTGCTTCAGCAGAGTTCTTGACTACAATCAATTTTATAGTGATCATATAAAATTTGTCCTAGTTTTGTAATAGCATTCAACTTCCATTATTTACTGGATTTTTTAAAAATTGGCTCATTTACTGTACCGCAGGGAATCATTATATAAAACCAAATTTTTAATTAAACTGTAACTTTGAAACATCAGCTATCATGAGTAAATCCATACTGAGGTAAGGTCACAATTGTGTACTCTAATTTTACTGTTTGTTTTCTACAGACTCTCCAACAAAAATCCTCATTTCCCTAACTTGCTCATAGTCTTCCGAGTTTCCTTTTTCTTCCACCAAACAAGCTAATGCATTTTGTCAAGCCTCTACATCTTTTTTTAAAAACCTAAGTTCAGAACAGATAGCACAGACAATACCAAGTAATAGAAATATGGATACTATTAAGCTAGTCAAGGGTTCATTTTTAACTGCTTTGAAAGTGTTTAAAGGCAATGTTAAAGCTTAAATTTTAATTTTTATTTTCTTTTGTATTTTAGTTCCATATGAAAAGAAATATTTATCAGGTAAGTAATGGTCTTTTGCTAAAAAATTTTCCAATTCTAGCATGTTAAAATACTACTTAAAGACCCCCTTTAAAAAATTACTTAACATTATATAAAATGGAACTACTTTTATACAAAGGTAGAATGGTCTCTTAACTTAGTAATAAGATTTGACATTTTAAATATGATTAACTGCACGTTGTATATGAAATGAACATTTTCTAGAACACCAAATTGCATTTTCTCATTGAACTCCACTATCTGTTTTTGTGGGAAATGATTGCATCTTTTGTTCAAAAAACTTTCACCTCAATTTTAATTACAACTCATAGAGCATCTGTCTTAAGTGCTTACTAAATGCATTTTTTAAAAGTTACAGATAATGTAAGTATTTAACATGTTTCAAAAGCAAAACTATACAAGGCAAACACTGAAAAATCTGTGTCCCATCTTTTCCCCATCCTACGTTTACCTTTACCAGGCACCACTTCCATCTCTTCAACTGCCTAGTGTCTTTTTTGCCATTAAGCAAATTGAGTATTTGACTTATTTTGCCCCTTTTATTCACTAATATATTTTAGATCTCTCTGCATACCGTTACCTATAGATTGAACTTCCTTTACAACTGCACACTTCCACTGAATGGATATNTCTGCATACCGTTACCTATAGATTGAACTTCCTTTACAACTGCACACTTCCACTGAATTGGATATACNAACTTCCTTTACAACTGCACACTTCCACTGAATGGATATAGTTATTTAACCAGCTCCAGACTATTGGGTTTTTCCAGACATTTTCTGTTATAAAGAATGAATCCAATTGCAGAAGTAATTTTCACCTTAAACAAATATGCTTATCTGAATTACCTGAAGTATACCTAAATTGAAAGCGAACATATGTTGATATTGATAAACCATTTTGCATTTCCAAAGGCAATGTGCCTGTTATGAAACTTGGATTTTTGCCAATTGGGTAAGATAGTGGTTTCTGTTTGTTTGTTAAATATATCATTGATTTCAGAGAGGAAGGGAGAGGGAGAGGAACATCAGTGAGGAGAGTCCGGCTGCTTCCTGCACACCCCCTACTGGGACTGAGCCCGCCACCTGGGCGTGTGCCCGCCTGGGAACCGAACCACCATCTCCCGGTCCTAGGTTGATGCTCAACCTCTGAGCCACGCACGGCCAGGCTTAACCCCTATGCTATCACCATATATTATAGTTGCTTTTCTTGAACGTCACATAAATATAACCCTAGTGGTCTCACTCAGGAACTTTTATTCATCCATGTAATGCATTTATATTGTACTTTTTCTATTATTGTATAGTATTTATAAATATACCAGCTTTGTTGATTCTATTTGTTATTGATGTTTGGATCATTTCTAGTTTAGCACCAATATGACAGAGCTGCCTATGAAATTTCTCATATTTCTTTCGGCCTATATTCTCATTTTCCTTGAGTGGAATTGAGTAGAATGGAGACAAAGTGGGAGACAGATTTATGTGTTTGCCTTGTATAGTTTTGCTTCTGAACCATGTAAATATATTACTGTAGCTTACAAAAAAATGCACTTAGTAAATCCTTAAGACAGATGCTTCATGAATTGTAACTGAGGTGAAATTTCTTTAAACAAGATTGCAGTCATTTCCCACAAAAACAGATAATGAAGTTCAATGAAAAAATACCATTTGGTGTTTAAAAACATTTCAGAGTGGAACTGCAGGGTCGTAGGGTAGCTAATATGCTTAGCTCTATCAGAAACCACTGAGTAATTTTTCAAAGTGGTGAACCACATTACATTCCTACTGCCAGTGTATGCAAGTTCCACTTGCTCCTCCATTCCGGGATAGTATTGTCAACCTACTTAATTTTTGCCATTCCAGTGGGTAATTATTGTAAATTTTTCATATCCCTGATGAAGAATGATGCTGAGCACCTTTACACTTATCAGCCATTTGGATATCTTTTGTGAAATGTCTGTTCAAGTCTTTTGCCCTTATTTTTGTTGGGTTCACTTTCTTGTTGGTATTTTTTTCTTATAATTTCTTATAAATTCATGTGTATCATGAATATTTTGTTTGGGGCTTTGCCATGATGTAACTATGATGAAAGAGGTACTCCTCTTAAGAGTTCATATGTATTTAATTTTCTTCTATAGGAGCAATGTATAACATTTAAAAAATTCAAGTAGAGCACAACTTCACACCCGTTAGGTTGGCTATCTGAAAAACAGAAAAGAACAAGTTTTGACAAGGATGTGAAGAAAATAGAAACCTTGTGCCCTATTGGTGGTAGTGTAAAATTGCAGCCACTGTGGAAAAAATATGGTAGCTCAAAAAATCAAAAATTACCTTATGATCCAGCAATTCCATTTGAGTATATACCCAAAAGTGAAAGGGGGCATAAAAAAAATATTTGGACACCCATGTTTATAGCAGTATTACTTACAGTAGCCAAAAGGTGGAACCAACTCAAGTGTCCATCAACAGATGGATGAGCAAAATGCGGTATATGTATCACTACTGTGGAACATTATTCAACCATAAAAAGGCAATTCTGACACATGCAAAACATGCATGAACCTGGAGGACATTAAGCCAAGTAAAATAAGCTAGTTACAAAAGGACAAACATCGTATGATTCCAATTATGAGTTACTTGAAGAAGTCCACCTCATAGAGCATGAGTGGGGAACGTCCAGCCCGCAGGCTGTATACAGCCCGTGAAATCATTTGGTCTGGCCCTTCCAAGGCAACTGCAGGCAGGACTCGAAATTCAATGAATCTAGGAGCTTTTTTCATGGCTAATTTTTGATAATTTTGTATGGCCCGCAAATGATGCTATAAATACCCAAAAGGCCCTTGGCAGAAAAAAGGTTCCCCACCCATCATAGAGACAGAAGGTAGAATGGTTGCCAGGGCCTTAGGGTAAGGGGGTAGTGGGGAGTTACTGTTCAATACATAGTTTTAGGTTTGCAAAAGTTCTATGGATGAATGGTGGTAACAGCACAATGTGAATGTAGTAATGCTACTGAACTATAAAGTTGNTAGTTTTAGGTTTGCAAAAGTTCTATGGATGAATGGTGGTAACAGCACAATGTGAATGTAGTAATACTACTGAACTATAAAGTTGGTTATTCAAGATGGTAAATTTTGTTGTGCATTTTACCATAACTTAAAAAATTAAATAAAGAAAAGCAGTGTGAGCATGTTACTTAGCACAGAAGAGCAGTAACAGGAGTGGTTGCCTTTGAGGAACAAATTAAGGGTGAGGAATAGTGGGGCAAGAGCACCATTTTTAATTGCATACCTTGTAGAACCATGAATTTTAAGTTTTGTACCTGTATACTTAGGATAAAAAAGATATATGCAAATAGAAACATGAGTAGAAAATATCAGGTAGGTCTATGATGGGTCTCAAAATCACTTCAGGAAGTTAAAAGATCTGGCAATGTTTGGTCTTTAGACTCCAGTAATGTTTGAATTCATTAAAAAAATATATCCCATGAATGTGTGACTGTGTGAGGATTTCTTGTATTAGACATTGAAGACAGAGCAGTGAACACACACAGACTCTGCTCTAAGCTTATATTAGTGAGGTTAAATATATGTTAAGTATAAGGTATGTCAGATGGTGACATGTACTATAGAAAAAAAGATGTGAAGGGAGAAAGGGAGGTTTTTGTTTTTTTCTTCTAAATAGGGTTGCCAATGGTTTTTTGAGCAGAACGAAGACCTAAAGGAAATGAAACGATGTTTGGAAGTCTGTCATAAAGGGATTGTTTAGTCTGCAACTTTGAGTAACAATAGTACAAGCTGAAGCAACCAGGAGGCAGTTGAGTGGCACTCTTAGCAAACAGGAAGTTCCCTTTCATACAAGTGCAGGCTACAAGACCTCCTGGGAAAGAATGCTGTCAAGAGAAAGTGGCTGCACTTGGTGTAGGAAGCACACGGGAAAGGGGAAGTTAGCCAAAGCTGAATTCAGCAATGGCTTATTGAAGGTGATGGAGGAGTTAAATCTTGAACAAGCAGGTAATATTAAGCAGGAAAGAGAGGAAAGGTTACCCAAGATGGATCAGCATAAACCAAGGTGAATGGACTGAATTTTTGTTCTGCCACTTACTAAAAGGACTTGGGCGAGTCATTTAAATCCTGTACCTGTTTCTTCATGTGTACAAAGGAGTTAAAAATCTGGGGTTTGTATGTATACAGTAGGTACTCAAATTGGCCTGTAATTATCAGAGTCCAACAAATTCATATTTTTAAAAGGTGGATTATGTAGTTTGGGCCTCAGTCAGTGTTAGAACTAGGGTATGATGGTGACAAGAAGAGGAATGTCAGACATGATTAGTAAAGTCTAGGATAATTCCTATCCTGAATGATTGTACGGTGGCTACTGGTGTCATCATTTAAGAGAATTCGAGGTAGAAACAGACTTGGGAGAGGCATCAGTTACACACAATACTTACCTGTATTTACACAAAACACTCAAATGACTTAGATCAACCTGGAAGAATTTTGAGTCCACAATTAGTAAGTTTGAAAAATGTAGAGCATGTCAGGGAATCTAAGGAGAACCTGTCAAGACTGAGTGGCTAACAGTACAGCTGCAGTAGACACAAGAATCACATAATGTACATGTGTTTCTGCATTTAGTAAGAGAGATCATTAGAGACATTTGGTAGAGAAGTCATATTGTTTGGGTTTGAGAAATGTGGAGAGCTTGTTTTAATGTTTGTTATAGCTTTCCTAAACTTCCTTTTATTAGGCTAAGGGAGTCTTATCTTCCTAGCTAAAAGCTGTTTTTAATTAGTTTTAAAAATCAGTTTTAGATAATAGCAATTATTTAGTCAGTAAAGAGGACAATGAATTTTTCCTATATTAGTAGATAACAGATTTTCTAATGTAGAACTATCCTCTATTCCAGACAGAAAACCTTACATAGTTTTAAGACACCACTTAGTAGTTGCCTCAAGACTAGCCTTCCTCCACATCTCAATAGTACTGAAGCTAGCCAAACAAAGGCCTTGGAGCAGCTTGGCCACAGATTACTTGCAGAATGTAAAAACTAAAGGAGCATAGATACTATGTGCCCCCCCCC